CTGCTGGTTTACAGAAGGAAGCGCTGACTGTTTATGTATATGTCATAATGCTAGAGAACAGTTCTGCTGCTCTGCGCAGTGGCCCTGCTCATTGGGGGCTGTAGACTGGGTAACCTTGGAGGAAGCTGACCGAAGGTTGTTGGTTCATGTACCTGATGGGTTCCTTCATTGAGTGGTGAGATCCGGCCACTCTGGCTTCCAGGGAAAGTTCAACATATGAATAAGGACAAAGTCCGGATCTGATCATTACTCGAATTGTGTCATTTTACGGACCAGGAACTGTCTGGGCCCCCTTGTGCAGATCGGGCACTAGCTTGCCTATCCACAGATCCAGCCCTGGTCTTGGGAGGTCTGACCATGACATAAAAGTTGTTGACGGGTATGTCAGGGGTGGTTGTTATGGAAAAGTTTTTTGGAGGGGGGGGAGTGGCACTATATATTGTCTCTTATGGTGGGCTCTTCAGGTTCTACTGAACCTCAGTTTCCCCTCAGTTCAAACTCTGGGTCCAACATGGCCGCTCTTCTCACATGTTTTGGACGTGAGAATGGGAATGCAGCCCCCTTTTCCAGCTTGGAGGGGGGTTTATGAGCCTCCCCCGATGGCATCACCACTGAGCAGAGATGTTGGCCTGTCGCCCATGACACACTGACGATGTGGCAGCCGCCGGATTAATGGAACCCCAAAGATTACTCAGCATCTACCGTCGTTTATGCCAGTGGTGAATCAGCAAAGTGGTGAACAGTGAAGTGGTGAACAGTGAAGTATTTGACACTTGTTTTTATTTGAGTTTTTGAAGCATTATTTATAGTTTTTTGTTGCGTATTTTTCCTATTTTATTTCAGTTTATGAAAATGTTTTCGCATAGTTTTAGTTTTTGTTAACAATAATAACCTGATCTGATTACACATATAGAGGTACACAAACATCCACATGTACACAAACAGAAGTACATGTATACAAGTGTGCATGTGTGTGTGCTGACACTGTTTCAGTGGCAGTTGGGTGATTGATTGCGCGCACACGCACACACGTACACTATAGTTCTTGTGTCACCTTCACTTCCTCAGCTCACAGGTACCAGGGCTGTGATGGCGCCGGCACCAAGAGAATGACGGTGGCTGTGAAATGCCCATGAAACTTTATTTAAGAGCCGTGGTCACATGCATCGGCCAGCCATAGGCCGGGCCCCTCTTAAGGCAGTAAAGCTGTGTCTTTGTTTTCTGATACACTATCAGTTAAGCTAATTATGTTTTTTCCATCATTTTTGTTCTGTTTTATTTTTTTTCTAAAAATGACTCATAATTTCAGCAGTGAAGTTTTAAAAATGAAATGATGCTTTATTTGAGATTTGCACAAGTACATTGGAATGCTTGTTTTTGCACATCCCATCTTTTCTACTTTGAGACACACGTACACACAAAAAAAACATAGAGTTAAGGTTGGGAAATGAGCACAGGGTCAGGCATTTATCTGGCACCCCAGGGGCATTTTGAGGGGGGGGGGGGGGGGTTGGGCACCTTGCTCAAGGGCCGCGTGACTATTCTGCTGAAGAGAGGACAGAATTCGAACTGGCAACCTTCCGATCAGACACAAACGCCCAATTATTGTGTAGAAGCTTATTGTGTGTAGGGGCACAAAGAACACAGAGTTTGAGATCATGAATTAAAAGACCACTCCCCTCCAGACCAAGACAGACCAAGACAGAGCCCATAGATGTGGACAAGGCCTCAGGCCTCGTTCCTCTGACAGTCTGCTGCGGGATGTGTGAAGCTTTATGACCTGTGATGTCAAATAATGGACCCTTTACCTTACTGTCCCANCCCCCCATTTTCATAGACTCTCCCAATTCATTGAAGGATACAATGGGCCATAAAAACAAATGCAATTTTAAAACAGGCATGAGAAATGGCTGCCCGTGGAAGTCATGTTTGTGGTGATGTGTCTGTGAATAGGGTGGTCAGTGGCACTGCCGTTGTCGGGATTTTATCGCACATGGGAATGTTTCAAGCCACCACGAGGAGCCTCAAGTACTCTTCAGACGTGGGATGGCGGGGGGGCGGGGGGTGCTGAAGAGACTGGTTGTTTGTTCCCAGGAGGGGAGGTAAAGGGCTTGTTTGTGACACACTGCACGGTCAGTGGTTTGTTTTAGGGGGAGTTGGGAGGGTGGAGTAGGCTTGGGCGGGGGGGCAAATTGGAAACATTTTGGAAAACTTCCTCCTCCGACAACACTGACTGCAGTTTTTGAACTGAGATTATGAGCCGGCCTGGCAATGTGACCCCCACCCCCCAGGCACACTCACCTATATCGTGACAGTGATGTGTTATGAAATTACAGGCTGCAGGTTGGGGCTCTTTGCTGTGCCTTAGCTGGCTTGGCTGTGGAGGTATATCACTACCTGGATAGAGGGGATCCAGTCCGTTAAAATATGTCCATACCTGACCCCCACCCACTCTGCTGTGTACTTCACACCTCCCTCTGCTCTCCATAGCTGTTACACATCCTCTGTTTCTCTCCCTCTCTTCTCGCCGGCTGGCTTAGGTCCAGTTCTTAGCCAGATGACTCCTCTCTTCCATTATGTTCAAGCCCATAAATGGAATGATACAGCGAGAGGCGTAGAGCGCCTCAGAAGCTACGCAGCGCCATACCCCCCACCGCCAGACAGTCACACCCCCCACATCTCCCTCCCTATATTTAACGCAACATCATTCATTTAAAAAAAAAATAAAAAATTAAAACTACCTGAATGTTCCTTTAGCTTTTTAATCCTGTCTGAGTCCCTAAATCATACAAATGACAGAGCACAGCGCCACACAGAGGTGCATTAGCACACTGCATGTGAGGACATGGGACAGTCTTTTCAGCATACATACACACTCGTGAGGTTTGTGGGGAGCCTCCATTCATGTCTATGGGAAAAACCCTAATCCCAGTCAGAACACCCTTAACCCCAACCCAGCCCTAACCGCGACCATAAGTAACCAAACACAAGCCTTGTAGGGGCCGGTAACCGCCATCTCTCTTGCCTTCATCATCTCCCTGCATGATGCTAATTGGCCGTTAGGCCAGTCCTGAGGCGTCTGCTACTCGGAACTAATCACACAATTAATTGGCCAATCAGCAAAGGAGGGGCGGGGGGTCCTCTCTGCTAAAGAAGCCCTTGACCTTGTTCTCATACCCTTTCTGTGCTTCCGTAGACATTTTTTGGTCCGCAGTCATAGTAGCCTATTATCGGTGTGTTGGTGTAACCACACAGACATTAATACACTTCCCCAGTGTTTATATAGCATCAGTTTAGCCTCTCCTTTTCTTGTGGCAGATGATGTGCTTTATCTCTGCTGACATCATACATAAGAGATGATGCACGGGCGTGTGAGGATCCACAGGAGGACATGCATTTGTAAACTCGCTTATTCAAATACATCTCTATACAGCTCTCTCCAGTAGTCTGCAAACTTAACCTGATTAACTATTAATTTATGGAAATAACCTTGAAATATCTCATTTTTTTTTATATCTGGAGGTTGCATGCTGTATCACTTGTGGGTTTATTATTTCCCTTATTCCTTAATTCCTTGTCTGGGTGTTTTTTTTAAATATGGGCTCAAAGCGCCATCTGCTGGCTGAAGTGATATTTAGAAGGTGCATTTTCCATTTAGATAGCTCTAAGACGACTTAACCACAGAACGTTAAGGAAAGGTGAACAGAGAAAAATGAGGCATTTTCTGACCTGAGGTGACTGTCACTCATCAATCTATCCACAATCCACAACCAGTTCTCAGGTGTCAGGTCAGTTTGTCCGACCTTTCCACATTAACGATCCGTGACTGAGAATGTGCTCTGAATGCATCCATGACACCCTGTGCCGCCCCCCCCTCCCCCGCTTCAGGTGAGATGCCTGTCTGCACCCCATTTGCCTGTCAGTCAGCCTGCTGGTAAGATCACCTCCATTAACTGACTTTTTCAAAGATCATTTGCCGAGGTGGAAAATTTTGCAATTCCACTCATTATAGATTCACGGATGTCAAACTGCAGTCCTGGGGGGCCGGAGCCCTGCCCATTTTTGGGTTTCCCCTCATTTAACACACATGATTCAACTTCTTGTGCTAATTACCACACAGCTCTTGAGCTGAATCATTGGTGGTGGAACAGGGAAAGAACTAAGCTATACAGGGCTCCGGCCCCCCAGGACTGCAGTTTGATACCCCTGGTATAGATGAATTTAAAATCCATTTTGAAATAGATGACTCCCAAAGATAGAAATGAAGTTCACACATTTGCCTGAGGCAAGTAATTTCGCTGAGAACAAAAAACTGACAAAAAGCCTACTGGCTAGTTAAAAATGACATACTGGACCACGTTTTATACTGAACTATTCCAGCTGAATATAGTGGCAAAGTTAATCACCACCCCTGAGAACTCCACTTGTCACTGTGAGCATTAAATTACAAACTGCATCACAGTTATATGACTGAATGAAACGGAATAAAATCTGCTTTGTCAAAGAAGTAAATGTAACGATAAACATCAAATAAGCAAAAGGGTAATAAACCTTGTAAATGTACAGCTATAAAATACAGTTGGCTCGAAAAAACATTTAATATTTTCTCCAAAACAGATGGCAGAAAATCATTAAAAGTAAACCTTTCCAATTTCTTGCATAGGACTCTTAAGTTTAGTCTCCTAAGGGACGGCTTACTCACGGCACAGTAAGAGTAGGGGGGGGGGGGGGGTGCGTGAGGAGGAACTTGCAGAAAAAAAAATGGTGAGAAAAAGAGGGAGGGGCAGTATGGCTGAGGGGGGGGGGGGGATCACCGGAGGGTGGTGTACCAAGGGGTTTGTGGGGAAAAGTACTACTACTACTACTACTAATAATAATAAAAAAAAATAATGATAATGCAAAATGAAAGTATATGAGATCTCCAGGGCCCAGAGGCTAGACACCGTGGTCAGGGCTGACAGCAGCAGCCCAGTCGATAGGGAAATACAGGCATGACATTCTTCCACATGTACATTCATTGTAAAACTTTATTACTTGTTTACTCATTACAAGGCACTGTTTTCCTGCACTCACTTGTCTCTCCCCCATACCCTACCCTGCAACTGTACCATGAGAATTTCACCATTTCAGAAAATGGGACAAAAAAAATCGAAACTTGAAAACTGCACCCACAACCAAGCAGAGTGGAATGAATTTATATTCATCCAACAAGCAGGAAAAATCTTAATGTCCCATTAAATTAAACAGAAGAATATCTCATAAATCCCTTGATCCCCCTCTCTAACGCCTTTGCATTACTTGCTTCGTTATCCACTAATTTCGTATTTAAATACTTTATATATAAGTATTATGGAAAAAATACTATTTAGAAATCACACCAGAACAAATTGGGCTTTAAGCAACAGAAAACCTGACATTTTGGCATAAAAAAAGTAATACACTGAATTAACGACGATAACATTGCACTTATATTTGTTCCCTGTGGTCAGAAAGACCAGAAGTCACCTAAATTACAGCAAAAAAGCACATAAATATGGGTAAGCTAAGTGCTAAAACTGCAGCTTACATTTTGTATGGGGCTGTAAAACGAGACTGTCATGGCATAGTATCCATAATAACCAATCTGCTCCCATAATGCCTCACAACTCCAGTATAAAAAATGGCTCCTCCTCCTTTTACACAAGCTAATCTGCATCTTTTTCTGGGTCTGAAGAGTGGTGGTGGGGGAGGTGCAGCTTCTGGATTGCACAGTGAAGTTGGAGCTTAAAATTACACACACACACACACACACACACATTATATATATCAAATGTGCAACCAAAGTACATGGAAGAGCATTAGTGATAAAAGCAGGACTGGTGACATCTTCCATTTCCCCCTGGCCTTCACATTTCAAGGACCTTCACATTTTTACAGGCAACTTGGAGGACACCTATAGGTCAAAGGTCAGTTGAGGACCCCAGCCCCTGGATAAGATTGCTTGGTTGCATAGGGAGTCTATTATTGCTCTTTGAGGTGTTGTGGTGCGTTTGACTGCAAGTGCATGCACCTAGTCTTCCCGGAGGTATGCATCAGGGATATCCTCCTCTTCCTCATTCCTGCCAGCAGACATCCTCTCCATGTTCTCTGCCTTGGTGTCCAACAGCTTCTGCTCAGCCTCCAGCGACAGCTGCCGCACCTGCTCCACGTGCTCCTGCGCCACCTGCAGGTTCGTCCGCGCCGTGACCGACGCCTGGTCAGCCCCTGGATGGACAAAACCACAGACTGTTGAACAGCACAGATCCCAGAAAAGCTTTTCGGACTTACACGAGAGAGAGCCAGATACTTCTTCACAGGCTCTGCGTTCAGTATGTGACGTAATCTCGGAATCCGAAAATCGGATCCCAAGGCAAATGGAAACTCACATACACTGTGCCTCTGTGCCCGTTATTAGAATGTTGCCGGTTCAAGCCCAGCTTCGGCAGAACAGTCACATGTCTGTGGGCCCTGGAGCAAGACCCTTACCCCCCCCCGGTCAAGGGGCGTCGCACATTGGCTGACCCTGTGCTGTAACCCCCCCCCCAAGCTATGGAGAGCAATATGGGGCAGGCGACGTGAAGCATTCCATTGTACCTGTACTCATACTTGTGCAAATGGTAAAAAAAAGGATTTAGAATTCAGAATCCATAATGAAATAAATGGGACGGTGATGGATTTTAAAAAAGGGAAAAAAAAACAGCTGAGATTTAAACAGGAGACATTTCTGAAAGACAAACAGAAAGAAAGAAACTGTAGAAACATGGTGTCAAGCTACTTCAGATTTGAGCATCTGATCTCGTAGAAGACAAACAAGATGGTCTGTCTGCATTGTCTTTGTGTTTAATAAAGCCTCTAGTCATGAAAGACGAGCAGAGTTCCTATGTGAGGCCGGCTGTATATTTGTCCGTGTGCACATTCCCGGTGCATCATGGGTAGACAGAGACGTCACGGTATCGAAGTAATCCAGCAGAGTGCCACACACAGACACACCCGAAAAGCAGTCCCAGCATCCTTCCCAGCGTGGTTCCTGTCGCCCCCTCCCTCTCCCAGTCCTACAAATCCAGGGTGGTGCCAAAGTGTCAGTTACAGAAAGGACAGGTTTATCTGAGTAACCAGAACTCAACCTTACAGTGTGGGGGGGGGGGGTGACCCTGCACCTTCACGACAGTGTGTGGGGGGGGGGGGGGGGCCCCTGGGCTTTCTTGGCCCCTTGGGGGGGGGGAGGGGGGGAGGGAGACCATGCACCTTCACGGCAACATGGGGGGGGTGGGGTTTGAGGGGGACCCAGAGCTTTCACGGCAGCATGGGGTGGGGGGGGGGCAAGCACATACCTGCATTGAACGCCGCCTCGGCTGCCAGCTCAGACAGATTGATCGCATTCATCCAATTCATCTCGAACCGCCTGCACTCCTCCCGTCTGTCCATCACCTGCAGAAAAGGACAGAGGTGATCTGTTTTCCTCAAATTAAGCTCATATAGCAACCTACTCATGTTCAACAGCTGTCGGGTCTCCATCACCACCACCCTGCAATTAGCTATTCATGTCAAACTCGTGCAGTCTGTAGGCCAATGTAACCGCTTACTTACTCATATTTATCATTCATTTAGTTTATGTTATGTTATGCTGTATATTGCATTTTATGCTGTGCAAATAGAATGTAACAATAAATCTGAATAGTGTTACCAGAGAGGTGGATATCAATTATGACAAAATATGCAACATATACCAGTGGCTCTCAAACTGTGAACTGCGACCAACAAATTATGTGGGGTCGCAAGATCATTTATTTCCTGAATATGGTATAATATATATACACTCACACACACACACACACAGTGGTACCTCAGTTCTCAAATTATAACTCGAATTTCTTAAAAGTATAACCAACCAGTTCGAGAAAAATTTACCTAGAACTCGATCTGAATCTCAGAAGTCAAACCATGAATGTCGACCTAAGATAACTTGTACGCGCGGGGAAATGAGTCACGCGGCACATCTCTCAGCAGAAACAAAGGGTAACACTTCAGTCTCAGCCTCGCATTTGCTGTGATAGCACCATGCATGTTTACACTAGCTGAATACATATATTGACAGTAAAAATACATTTAGACAATGATACAGTAACAGTAATTATTATAATAAAATACATTTAAAAATAAAGATTTCTTATTATTTTAATATCATTAATAATAAACCATTAATACATTTAATTATAATAATATTGTCATACCCAGCGGGGAAGGAAAGGAGACAAAGGAGCAGACGTCAGGGTATCGGGGAATACGGGGTTTAATTACAGGTAAGGCAGGCAAAACGCAGACGGGCAATACAATGACCGGACTGGGGAAACAAATTGAAAAGCGGACTAAATACAGAGGGCTAATGACAACAACCAGAAACAGCTGATCACATGGGGATTCCACACGGGGTTAACGAGGGGGCGTGGCACACGGAAGGAGCGGACGATCGGGGTAGAACACATTGTTTGGATACATTTATTTTCTTACTTTACAAATTACTGTTTTGATAAATGTGCTTAGATGTGTTTAGTACAGTATATGCTCCTCTTGTTTTATCCGGTTCATTTTGTGTTTGAATGCTAAAAAAAACATATTTAGGTGTCATTTTTTGGGGCCGGGAACCAATTAATTGGTTTTCCATTATTTCTTATGGGGAAAATTCGATCAGAACTCGAACTTTTTAGGATTCAATCCGGAGTTCTGAACAAATTAAGTCCTACTTCTGAGGTACCACTGTATATATATATTTAGCACCCCCCAAGCAAATTTTATGATCCATACCTCGGGGGAATTCAATCCATCATGGGGACTCCCCCCCATATCGAAAGCAAGATTTGTTTTTTTGGGGGTGTTGCGGTTGCCAGACAGAAAGTTTGAGAACTACTGACATATACAACTACAATAGACAATAAGTGGAAATCCAAACACATGAACCCAAACAGAGTCCCTTGACCTCTTGACCTCTTACGTCACCCTGACGACTGGATGACGGCCCACCTCCTGGTGCTGGCGAATGATCACTTGCCAAATGGCGTCCTCCTCTGTGGGGTTCAGCTTGCTGACAGAGGTCACATATCGCTGCTGCAGAGCCAAAAGCGTGTGCATCGCCTGATTGGGGGGCGAGATACAAGGCCAGGCTCAATGGTCAACAGTGACCTCGCAGAACTTCACTACTGTCCTTCCCCAACCTGAACCCACAGGTTATCTACCCTGGCCTTGTCAGATAAGGCCAGTCAGAGTGGTAAGTAGTACCAGCACTGAACCGGACCTTTCAGCTGAATGGGTCAAAACAACAGGGGAACAAAACACCTAATCTAATCTGAGAAGTCAGCTGACTGGAAGCATTTGGCTTATGTCTGTGTGTATGTGAGTTTGTAAATATTACTGGCAAGAAAATGTCTCTCACCTCAGCAAACAACACGGGACTTAATTTTGATATTAAAATGGCATGTTGGTTTATGTTAACTACCAAATAATCTAATGACTGCAGCTCAGTGATTAGCCTCAGACCTCCAGGGTTGAAAGGTTTGATTCCCACCTTTGACTCTGCGGGTAGATTCTGTGCCCCCTCCATTTCCCAGGTTCCCTCCAATAACATGACTTATTTGCTCATGTGTGTGCTGTAATGGACCAGCATCACATCCAAAGTGCCCCCTGTTTCGTGTCCTACACAAAGGCTCTAGGCTTACCAAGGTCCTATACTGAATAACTGGATATGGAAGATAGAATTTGATAATTGTGTACAATGCAAACACTTGACATTGTGCAATAAGTTATTACACTTCAAAATACTTTGCTTAAAAAAGTTGTCAAAATGAAGAGAGAAAAAAATCCCGCCATATTTCACATTTATCTAACACTTTTATCCATAGGAACTTACAGAAGAGGGAAGGGTGCATTTGTCTCTGTGTGCTCCTTAGGATTTGAACCCTCGATTCTTGCGTAACTAGCGGAGAGCTCTACTTGTAGAGCTACAGGGTCACCGTAAGGGTGTGGGGTCTCACCTTAACATAGTTTGTAAGGGACTCCACTAGAGCTAGGGTGGTCTGGGACAGGTAGGTGTTGGCACCGTCCGTCATCAGTGATGAGGCCCGACGAATCAGGGCCTCGTGGGAGAGCACAGCTGTCTCTTTCTGGCGGGGGGAGATGGGGGATGGGATTAGTTCCACCAAAACCAACACAACCAACCGCAATGACGCAAGACACCAAAAAATAGCTTATACTGAAAATATCTCCTTATGATGGGGGCAGCAAAGAGAAACCCATCGGATGGACGAACAGATAACTTCTGCACCTTGATGTCATCTCACATAAATTGAATTTAAGAGTCAGCAGTGCTGAAATCAGACAGCTGTCACAGGTCCTAAGTCGGCTATAGCTGGTCCAAACCAGTTTACCAACTTAGACAGAGGAATACATGGAAGAAGGTGCTAATTGCACAGCAACACCCATTACTGCACTGAGCTACAGCCTAGGTGACTCTAGGCTTTTCCCGCCAGGGGTGCAAGGTGAGAGTCCAAGATGTTATTCCTCCATATTAAAGACAAAAAAAAAACAAAAAAGCAAACACATTACATTTTTATTACACATTGATACGACTTAACAATCCATATTTTACAACACAACTTCACAATACAGTATAATTTAATTCTATTTAACTTACTATGTTCAAATAGTTTTTTTCAGTAGGGGGTGTAGTTTTACCCCCGGTAAAACCACCAGTGACTTGCGGTACCCGACTAGTACCAGTACAAGATGAGTTCTGGTGCAGGGTTGCCAGCTTTTGATGTAGCTAATTTTAGGTTTATAATGAAATAATACAAATTTGCCGTTAAATTTCTTGCGTATCACGCCAGATGCGTGAGAGCTGGCCATCCTGCTGGTGGGTAATGCAGACCAGTTCGGCTGTTCAAAACCCAGCTGGTAATGGTAAGGCCTTGTAAACAAAACGTCAGGTATCCTAGTCTTACCTGTGAAAAAGGTATGGCGCAGAGCCCACCAGCCGCGCAAAGGGAGACGCAGGTCCGACGCACCGCCGCGGGCAGCTTCGCAAGGCGCCGGGGCGACGAGCTGCAGCCGACCACTGCCCCGATGCTGCATCTGGGGGGACAGGGACAGCGACACTGACACCGGTCCGTACGGCGGACAGACGGGGACGGCGCGACCGCCGAAACGCTAGCGGCACAGTCTACCTCTATTTATTAAATTTCAAACTGTATCGTATTATAACTGTAGTATTTAACTTTTTCTCCTTGCATGCCACACTGCGCCGTCCTTAAACTTTACACAATGCCCTTGTACTGTCAGTTTCACTTCATTCCATGCATTTACCATTAGGCCATAGTGAAACTACACGAACCTCACGCACTCGTGGTTTATTTCATACATCTTATACCAGACTGAAAAACTCTATAAAACCACTGTAATAAACACCGATCGCAAAAAGCAAAATACAGAGTGGAAAGCCCATATATAGCAAAGGAAATGTCAGTATAAAATGCATGTGTAACCTGAGAAAGCTCAGCACCGCCAAGCCGCGCCTGTACGCCGCCATGTTGGAGGGCAACAGCAGGAAATAGGCGCTGCCTTGTGAAAGGCTCCGGGTCCCAAGGCACCCCAGCAGCGGCATGATGCTGCCCAGGCTTGGTCGCCGCTCGCTCTTCTGTAACGATTTAATTTAATTTTAATAATCCTTGCTGGGACGATCCTTCGGATCAGGACTTGCAGTCAGCTGTATTATGTTGCCGCTATTCGAATCAAGCCTTTCCTATATATTTAATACTTACAAATGTTTTATGAAAAATTAGTACTGATATTCATACTAGTGTAACTTGCAGAAGACAATAAATAGCTTTTCCTCGGAAGTTCAACGAAAAAAAACAAGAGCACTTATATTACTTTAGGTTGAATTTTGTTTTTTAATGCAGCATATTATAGACGTATTGTATTGGGGTGTTTGCAACCGTGGGCACTGAATTTCCGGCGTGTATTTATGCACTGAGCTGAACTTCGCCGACCCCGTTATTGATCGCGCGGCCTGGCCCCTGCCACCACACTCAAAACACTTTCCAGGCTTTACGTAAGCGAGAAGAAAAAAATCCAGAATCACTATTTTGTCAACGGCAGTTACAAGTCCGAAGAATTTGTCCTGGTGCATAGTTAGCTACTTTACACACAACATATAAAAATAGACATAAAATTAGATAAATGATTTACAGTTATATACATAATACCTGTATTTAAAGACACTACATATAAATATCAAATCGAAAATAGAGACAACAGTCATGTTAGTGTATAAATCGTGCAAATATTATTATCATTGGTGTTATTATTAATAATAATAATAATAATAATTTACTTATAGCTTTCATTCAACAGGGTAACTGCACAATCCAGATCAGAAATGGAGTCATTACAAATTACTATAAAAAGAACCTCATTAATATTTCCATATATTACAATTCAAACCCAATGTATTGAATGCAATGTCTGTACAGCAAAAATATGTCGATGACATAATAGCTGAATTATCCGAGCATGCGTTTGACCTCCCTCAGAAGCACATGGTGGTTTCTGTAACGTTCCAATGATGCCTGAATAATGTAGTGAATAATGTAGGATAAAATAGAAAGATTCTATATCATCTTTCGTGTTAGGCTGAAGGAGGGTAGAGGTCAGGAAAAGCCACAAGAAGAACAACACTCCCTTCCATCAAGATGTCTGTTCAAAGTTCAGTTTTATCTCACAGAAATCTTACTCACTGTAGCTGACGTGGTGGAAAAAGGTCAAGTTCTTCAACAAAAGTGGAACAAAGATGGTCTATTTGTGAATTTTACTGCTGTTGAATAATCAGGCTAAATCTTCTCATATTAATAATAGTAATCATCACTTTATTAATCCCCGTGGGGAAATTGTCTTTACACCTCCCTCAACTTACTCTTTGTAAGCAAGCTGTCCATGAAGGGCAGCCACCTGTAGCGGCACCCAGGGAGCTGGGGGTTAAGGGCTTTGCTCAGGGACCCACAGACGTGCTGAGGCTGGGTTTGAACTAGTGACCTTGTGATCACAGGCACAGCCCACTGAGCCTCACGTTACTTGTAATCACAAGGTCGCCGGTTCAAACCCAGCCTCAGCATGTCTGTGGGTCCTTCACAGACAGCTTACTCTGCAAAGAGCAAGCTGAGGGAGGCATAAAGACAATTTCCCCACAGGGATAATAAAGTATCAATTATCTTTATTATTATCATCACAGGCTTAGCCCACTGAGCCACACACTGCCCCCCAATAAATAGCCCAATGAATGATGATTAATAAGTTTTTGTTGTCCCGGCGACCCTGAGTAGGATAAGCAGTTACAGAAAATGGATCCATGGAAGTTTTTGTTGTTGTTTTCAATGTTAGGAGGCTTAGTTGTTGCCTTATAGAAGGCATGCCCTAATTCGGCCACAAGATGGTGCTAATGCCACTTAACGTAGAACTTCATGTTCAATGACAAATACAGATTGGTAGAGGAAGTACTCATGACACTCATTTTTAAAAAATACATTAGCCTAGTGTTAATTTCATTTTCGTATTTTGTCTATATATGTCAATCAGAAAAAAAGTTCTAGAACAGGGTCGTGCAGTCAAAGCCCATGCTACTACCCCCCCCCACGAAAGTTCACCACCTCTCAACTCAAACACATACATGCCAACTGACATGGGGTGGTTAAAACATGTTATTACACGGCTCTCTGGAATGCTTGATTCTGATTGGTCAGTTGACACATTTGCAGGTTCGTTCTTTTCAAATAATGACCGCTCCAAAGTAATAACGCATAGCCGGTACTACTTGTATGTTTAAAATCAGTCCGCGCCAACAAAGATT